AGAACCAACCATTCTTCTTACCTTCAAAGATCTTTAGTTTAAGCACAGCAAAACGTACTGTACAAAGCTTCAAGCGTAACTACAAAGAGCACTGTGGCTCAGAAAAGCAGAGTCTGTTTCCTCATAATCCTGTTATCCCCCAAACAATGGAACAAGGACTAGAGAGCACCTCCCACTCACTTCTTTATAAGCCTGCAGGTAAGAGACAGTCTGCAGGAAGTGATGGCGGAGGTTAATGTCCTGGGGAATTTTTCCAAAGCAGAGGATAGCTGGTTGAGTTAAATTCACCATTAATCTAGGAAAATAAGACACAGAGACTTTGTCAATGATTGTAACATAAAGCCAACTTAATTGTCATTAAACCACTTCAGTATTAAAACACTTCACAAACATCTTAAAAGTTATAAAAGTTATACTAATTTCCCACTGACAAATTTAAGCAATGAATATATACTGCTCACAAAAATAAAGGGAACATTTTACCATGGAACTGAAGGGGTTTGCGTTCCCTTTATTTTTGTGAGCAGTATATTTCTACACTGGTATATTAGTCCTTACCTAATTCATTGTGATGGCTTCCTCGGTATTTCATTTTTTTTTGTAAGTATTTTTCTGTAGTGAATTCCTAATTGCCACCTATATTACATATAGTTCCAGTTCAGGATTTGGTTCAGGTTTAAATTTAAGTGGATAATGGCTTGATCTAGACTTGGATCACCATGTGTGACAAGCATGGGATTTAAAAATAATCTGGAGATTCTTTCTTTAAACCCATACTATATAAAGAGTTTAATTTTCTAAATAGGCTAGACTTCTTTTCATTCTAACGTTCAATCTAGATTGCCTTCACCTCCAGAGATAATAAAAATTGTTATGACAGCTGCATTGTGCACATTTTAAAATTTGGTTCTTTGAAGGATATTAGTTCCTCCTCCCAGCCCAATTAAAGTATTGATTTAGCTAAAACTCTCAGTCATATATTTCAGAAATATGCACATTATTCAAACTGACCATGTTTAGATATTTAAAAATTGCTGGAGCATAGACACCCATCACTCTCATTTATATCTAAAGTCCTCAAGTGTTTCAGACTAAAATTATCATAATCTCTTGCCACTGATCAGCGAATTAGGTCTTATGGGATAGGACAAGACCAGGACACAGATTGTTCCCTGATCTCTGTAACGCACACTCCTTTATTCCTATCTGTTACTGATATTCTTCATACTTAAAACCTATAACCAATACTCTTTCCTTCCATCTTCTCTCATCCTGCCATTCCTACCTGATGACAGCATCAAACAGCTGTTTATCTTGGGGGTACTGGACGATAATAGGGATCAGGTCATTTTGCAGAATCTGAGCAGCTCCCAGCTGTTGCCGAATATCCCTGGTCTCATCTTCATGGCGCAGATAGCGGATTAAATCTTTCACACTCTCTGGAGGAATTCAAGCCAAGTGGGAGACAAAATTTCAAATGGGTGCAAAGCTAGAGCTCACAAAATTGCTATCTCAGGATACGTATGAGTTTTACCAATATACTAAAGGAGGAATGGACTACAACTCCCATCGTAGCTGGCTAGGATTGACGAGAGAGTTACAACATCTGGAAGGTAACATATTGTTTGATAAAGTTGTAGGACTAGGGCAGAGGTAGGCAACCTCGGCTCTTTTATGACTCATGGATTTCAACCCCTGGACTAGGGAATTCAACCATTTTGTTGTGCCCTGGAACCATCCAAAGAAGGATGACAAGAAGATTTCTCCAACTTTTTCAAAACTAAAACAAAAAGTTAGAAAGTGCCTTTACAGAACTCAAATGTTTCTTACTTCATGATTTAGTTGCCTCCATCTAACAATCAATAGCTTGAGACATACACAGCCCTTACACATCCTCTAATATATACTTCCCAGTCTTGATCTCTCACCTATACAGTCTGGTTCTTTATGGTAGGTGTCCCCTTCTAAGAATCCAAGGGCACTGCAAGTTGCTAGGAGTTCACAATTCATCATGTACAAGTCCATAAATCTCAGACTAAGAAAAAGAATGGAGCCTGCAGAGAACAGACAGACAATTTGGTTGTGCAGTTGAATGTTCATAAAGCAACAGTCATCATTTGATGAAACAAATGAGTACTTGCTTACTATCTCCCATGGAAGTCTGAAAAAATCCAAAGCAGTTGTATTGTTAGAGTTTTTAACTAAAGTCAAGGTATTTTAAGATTTTACATGGGTTTATCCATTGTTGGTGTTTAAAATTCCAGATCTGGCCTTAAAAGAAATGAGGGACAGCTAAGCAAACTATCTAGTCTTTTAACTGTTTATTTCTTAAATTAAAATTATTTTGTAAGATTACTTTTTAAAAAATGTCTGGGATAGGCTGCAACAAGTTAGGTCAGTTTCCCATGTTCATGGATTGCAGACATTATTAGAGTTACTACCTGCAAATACATCCTGCAAATAGAACAAGTTCATAAAAGAAGTTTGAGGTATCTAGTACACATATTTGACCTTGAAGGAACAATTATTCACTTCTGGTAGAAATCCCAATTTGCAGTTAAAATACAGTAATGCCTAAACCCAAATATCATAAAATAAACCAGCTTCTTTTATGTCTCTACGTATAATCTAGTTTCCAAATTATAGAGGCAAACAGCAATGTGAGATGTATCCTAGTCTAGAGGTCTACACTGACATTCTTACCTGAATTTATCCAAGCACATATGTTTGCTTATTTTGACTCTAGCAACTGACTTCAAAATCAAGTCCCACTAAAATTAACCTTTAAAAATGCTAACTACTGTACAGGTAGAATTGTACAATACAGCTGAAAACGTGAATTTTTTGGAAATAACTATTTATTTATTTATTTATTTATTTATTGCTTCTATTTATATCCCGCCCTTCTCCTTACGGACTCAGGGCGGCTAACAACCAGATAAAAACTACAAAATACCAAAAACTACAGTTAAAACATGATTAAAAGACAAATATTAATAATTGGCCTAAGTAATTTAGAATTATTTTAAAACCCCCACTAAAAATTTCCCCTAGGCCAGTCCTGCAAGCTGAAATAACCATGTCTTAAGGGCGCGGCGGAAGGAAGGGAGATCAGGGATCACCCTGATCTCTGGGGGTAGTTCATTCCAGAGGGTGGGAGCTCCCACAGAGAAGGCCCTCCCCCTTGGGGTCGCCAGCCGGCACTGCCTGGCCGACAGCACCCTGAGGAGACCCACTCTGTGGGAGCGTACAGGCCGATGGGAGGTAATCTGCGGCAGGAGGCGGTCTCGAAGATATCCAGGTCCGATGCCATGGAGCGCTTTAAAGATGATGGTCAGCACCTTGAAGCGCACCCGGAAGGCCACCGGCAGCCAGTGCAGCTCGCGCAGCAGCGGTGTTACATGGGAGCGACGAGT